GACTAGGGGCAAGACGAAGAGAGAAAACAGATAATCTCATCAGTGTGCCCACACAGTAATGAAAACACACACACACACACACACACACACACACACACACACACACACACTCCTGTGCAGGAAAGTCTAAGCAGGGCATCTGAGCTGCCTGGAAGGACACCTGAATAGGGAGGCTTGAGGTGAGAATCTAAAGGAAGAGAAGAAACTTGCTAGTTGAAGAATAGGGTGGGATAGAGAAGGAATAGGTCAGTTTTCTAGGCAAAGGAATAGCAAGAACAGAGAGCCTAGTTCTAGTTCCAAGAACCTAGGAACCCTGGTCCATTAAGGTGGTAAGAGAAGGCCAGGTGGCTGGTATGCTGAGGGAAAGGAAAGGTGATGTGACATGATGCTGAAGGGTTAGCTGACTTAGCCCTCCTGGTACTGCAGGTTGAAAGAAGGTTTTTGTTCTTTATCCCAAAAGCAATGGGAATTCATATTGGCAGGGGCTAATATGTCAGATCTGATGCCTTGATGAGAATGGGCGGGCATTGCTGGATCACTTAGGAGATTACTGCAATGGTCCAGGTGAGAGATCGGTCAGCCTGAACTATGGTGAAGGTGCTGGGTGGAGTCAGTTTTGGAAGTGTGGTAGAATGCATGCAGGTGGCCAGGAGTGGGTCTGTCAACGACGTCTTCTGGTTTTGGAAATGACAGAGCTGTGGAGGACTGCAAGGTCATCTAGTCCACTCCTCACCCAACTACAGAAGGAAACAGAGATTCAGAGATAGAGAAGGACATGGCCACACTGGCAGAGTGCTGGATTCCAACCCTGTGCTTTTCCTGTTCTTCACAATAGAATCCCAGCATCAGAAAGAGTCAGAGCAGGAAGGAGCCTTAGAAACCACTCAGTCTAATATTTTATAGATATGGAAATTGAGGCCCCAAGGGGTGAAGGCTTAAGGGGCCAAAGGCCACCCAGGGAGTTAATTAATTAATCAGCTGGATGGTCTGGGCATACATAAACATGGCTCGAGTGACCCCTAGATAGTGGGACGGGTGTTTTTTCAGGAGGGACATAACTTGGCAGAAGTCCCTACAAATGCTTTCCCAAGCCTCCTTGCGCCCGCTGGCCTCTCTCAGCTGGCTGCCTCGGGGTTAGGGAATCCAGATGTCTGGGGCCACTGAAGCCAGCCGGATTTTCCCACATCATGGGTTCCCAGCTCAGCAGTCATGCTGTAGGGGGTGAGTGGCAGGGAAGGAAAGCCAAGCTCTTCTTTCACTGCATTTCCCAGCATCTGAGTTTAGGGAGAGGACTGACTTCCTTGGGTGCCCTGGATGTGCCCCCCTCCAGTCAGGCAGAGCCTTGCAGCTAAAGCCACAACCTGCCAGGCAGCACCGTGTGCCTACATACAGGGACTTCGCTCTTTAGAATTGAATATTGTGCCAGGGTCTGACAGATGTTGTCAAAGCCTGCTGCTTCCCAGTGTAAGACATCATTGGGAGATATGTTAGCATGGATGCCAACATTTCCTTCCTTCCTTCCTTCCTTCCTTCCTTCCTTCCTTCCTTCCTTCCTTCCTTCCTTCCTTCCTTCCTTCCTTCCTTCCTTCTTCCTTCTTTTCTTTCTCTTTCTTTCTTTCTTTCTTTCTTTCTTTCTTTCTTTCTTTCTTTCTTTCTTTCTCTCTCTTCTCCTTCTTCTTCTTCTTCTTCTCCTTCTTCTTCTTCTTCTTCTTCTTCTTCTTCTTCTTCTTCTTCTTCTTCTTCTTCTTCTTCTTCTTCTTCTTTTCTCTCTCTCTCTCTCCCTCTTTCTTTTGAAAAGCAGGCTGAATATTTGAGATTGGGATTGCATTAGGGAATTTCAGAACATTTTTTGGGGCAGCTGGCTGAGTAGTTTATTGTCAGTGTGACCTGGCTTTGTCCTGAATGTCTCAGAGGGACTCTGAGTGTCAATTTTCCACAGCTGTCTTCTTGAGCCCTCAGGAATGTTCACCCTGGGGGCTCAGGTGGCCGGGAAGACTGGCATCTGGACAAGCACAGTCTTCAAAATCATACAATTTTTGGAGCACAACCATGTCCTGACTTCAGTAATATTGGTACTTGCCTCTCCGAACCTGTTTCCTGTTTTTCTAAGGAGGGGCGAAGACACCTATTTCACAGTGTCATTGTAAACATGAAATGAGATAACTGATGAAAAGCACTTAACATGATGTCTGGCATCGAAAAGCACTCAGTAAACTGCAGTTGTTATTATGTCTCCTTCCAGGACTCTGAAATCAACCAAGATTGAGTCAGATGGGTTCAGAAGAACAGAACCTTCCTCTTCAGTGCTGGCCTCTCCTAGAGGTCCCTTGAGGTCCACTGCCATGGCAACGGGTCTGTGGAGTGGTGAGGAAGCCAATCGATCGGGCCAGCTAAGCAGCCAGAGCGCTGCCTGGTCTGCCGGCGCCAGGGCTAGCGAGGGCGGCAGCCTGATGAATGGCTGCCTGATCCCCTGGCCTCTCTCTGGCCACCCTGGCTTCTGCCTCAAGGAGGGCTAGAAGCTCCCTCTCTGGGATGTGCCAGCCGCCCAGTCAGTGGGCACAGTTACAGGTGCCACAGTGTCTTAGGACACTGAAAGGGACCTTGAAGATTATCCCACTCTCTTTGTGACTGAATACAGAACGGATGGGCAGTGAGTGCCTGTGGTGTGCTTGGCACAGTCTGAGGTCTCCCCCTAGAGGTTAAGTTCTACAACCATCCTGTGCAATGGGTATAATTATGCCCAGCAGGGAGGCAGAGACTGAGTGCAGAGATATGAAATCTTCCATTCACAGCACAGCTTGGATTCATACCCAAGACTTCTCTCTGATTTCAGTTCCTGTGTTACTCATTGTTTGTCTGGCTCTTGGGAACATGTCTGGCCTCCACTGTATTTCCAATGCCTCGAACGGCGCTTCACACATATTAGGGGTGCAATAAAAATTGTTGAGCAAAGGAACCGCTTAATCTGGGTACCATTTGTGCAGGTGTGGTCTTAAACCTGGGCCAGGTAAGAGTGTGTGTTTGTGGAGTTTCTATCAGACCCTATGATGGGAAAGAGACCTAAGACCCTAAAGATGCTCCCTTGAGGTCCCAGCTCCTCCACAATAGGCTATTCTCTCACATATGTCCTTGTTTTAGCCACACCAAACTCCATGCTGGACACACACCTTCCTTCCCTTATGCCTTCTTTCCTACCTGGAACAGCTCATCTCCATCTTCACTTGAGGGCCTCATATCCATCTTCGAATCTCAGATGTGATCTTCTCCAGGTACATTGCTTGGTGCCTTAAAGGGAATTTGATTTCTTGCTTCTGTAAATTTCTGTATTACTTGCAGGTCTCTTTGTGTGCTCTGATTGCATTCTGCACTGTAATCCGTCTTCCTGTGACTGTACCATTCTTCCCATATTAGACTGTGAGCTTCTGGTGGGCCCTGACCCTGTTTTGTCCTGCCATCATGTGGGTGTGGAGCACATTGGCACACTCAGTGGTTTTAATGAATGTGGAATTGAATGTGTTGACTTGGTGCAGAGCTCCCCATACTGGGACTCTTGTCTCCCTGATACCCTGGTATTGGACTGGATGAGTCAAAGAGTAGGGCTAGAACTAGGTAGACCTGGTAGTGGTGGGGGGCTCTGTCTGCCTCCCCCATTTTCCCCACTAAGTGCAGCTGAAAACAGTCCTCTCCAGGGACCTCTCTGACCTCGGCTGACCTTCACCAGGGCTGTTTTCTCATTCTCTTAGGTCAGGCTGAGAAAAACAGGAAGAATCATTAAGACACAGAGCCTTCTGAGCCAGCAAAATTATCCCTGATTCCTTTTACAGTCACCAAAAGCTTTGTTTGTGCGTTTGTGACAGGAGTGGGCTTTTCCTGCTGGCCTCCAGAAACCTCTGCTAATCTCTTGGATCCGCACCAGGCACCTTCACTTCTCTTTCTCTTTTTCCACAGTTAGACTCTGTAGTGTTTTCCACCCTTAAACAATGTAGAGTTGGAGGACCTCTCGGTTGTATCCAGAATCTCTCCCAGAGAGATCAGCTGACTCCTAGCTACTCAAAATATGGTCCGAGCACCAATGATGCCGGAGGCTTGTTAGAAATGCAGCTGCTAGTTCCTTCCAAGCTTATAGCATCCAAGCTTTGGCAAGAGCTCCAGGGAACTATTATGCACATTAAAGTTTTAGAATTGCTGCTGTAACCCACTGTTCTTTGTTTGACTAAGGTGGCATGTGAATGCTGAAGAGGGAATTGACTTGTGAGTTAGTAAAATTGACTTGGTTTAACAAACATTTGTTGAAAAGCGGCCTCACACCCAGGCCTGTGCTGGGCTCTGTGGGTAGAATTTGAAGTGAGGATCCTGGTTCTCTTTGATCTTAGTAATTCTATCGTGCACCTACATTGCCTTGTCCACACCAGGGCCTTGGCAAGTGTTTGTTGAGTGAATATGACTTTTGAATTTCAGCCCAAGGTTTCTTCCACTTTACTATGGCTGCCTTTCACAATTACATAGCACTTTCAGACAGAAATAAGTTCTTTAAGGAGCATTCAGAGAGTGGGTTGTATCCTTGGTTTTCTCAACTCTGGGCAGCAGAATCTCAAGAATAATTAAATGAGAAAAGGTTCATGCCATCCAGAAATCCATATACAGTATCACCAATGACTGATAAAGGAGAAAGTCTGTACCAAAACAAGGCATGCACAATTCCCCATTGAAACATTTTCGATGAGGCAATACAGGATGAGTAACAGCCTCATGTATTAGGAATCCACTTTCCCAAAGGTCCACTGAGACTTCTCATCTCCACTGAGATGATTCTGTTCTGTCCAGTTAGAGGTCTTCTGCAGGTTCCAACTTGCTCTTGTCCCCTGAGGTCTGTTCTCTATTGGAATGTCTAGTTCTCCTTATGAGGGCTTTATTATTTATTTAGTATTTGCCCAGAGTAATATTTAGAAGCCATCTTTATTTCTAAGGAAGCCTTTGGTCCTTCCTTATCTATTCATCAGAATAGTGACTGGGCAGCCGCTCACCTCCCTGGAAGTCTCTGTGCTCCCTTTGTCCATGTCCACGTCTGTGCTCACTTTGGCTGCTGCATTATTTCTGGAAACTCCTTCCATGAGCATGGAGTGGTATGACATTTTAAATGACTTGCATGGGAGCAGTCACTACTACTTTGTGTCTGTGTTGTGAATGACTTTTCCATGGTGAAAAACCACACCGCCATGATCCATTTCTCTGTAACAATGGCATTTTGCAGCAGTAGCTTGAGATGCCAATCCTCTTCAAGATCAGTACGAGATGGGCTGTAATCTTCTCCTCTTTATTAATTTTTTTGTCCTTGTCAAACTCCTTTAATAGTAATATCTTGACAATAATGTGCATTGTCATTTCTTAACATGAAGGAGAGTGATATAAAGTTCCTGTGGCATTATTCTTGGAAAGGTAAGAAAGTAGAACTTGGGATTTCACCGGTTGCTTGTGTTGATCAATTTAATCACTCTAGAAAAATTATTTTTAATAATGAAAAATTGTACTACCTATTTTTTTTGTTGATTTCTTACTATGTTCCAGGCACCATTCTAAGCTTGTTTGTAAGAATTACACCACTAAGTCACTAGTAAAACACTATGAGATAGGTAGTATCCCCATTATTCAGAGAAGGAAATAAATTAGGGAAATACTGAACAACTTATCTAATTAATAAAAAGCAATAGCAGGACTTGAACTTGAGTGGTGTAATCCCATTATCCAGCTTGCATCTGGAATGGGATGGTCACTCTGGGCTCCAGCCTTATGTTGCTGACACATATTTATCTCCTAAAAGTCTTTTCCTCATAGACTAGTGTTTTGGTTATGTATTACTTCATAACAAATAGGTCCCACTGAGGCATATTCAAATTTAAGAGTTTATGTGAGCAAACATTGATTCACATCAGGCAATGTGAAACCAGAAGTGATTAGGAGCCCTCTTCTGATAGGAACTAGGGGCAAGAGTTTAGAGATAAGGCACAGAAGCAAAACAAGAAAATTATTTGATTGGCTATAGATTAAGCTATTGGTTTATTTGGAAAAGACTAGTTGGCTACTTGTGGCTGGTTTTCCTTAAGTTTTGATTTATTAACTGTGAGGTATCTACAAGCTTAGGCTTTGATTTGCTGACGTGGGCTACTAAGGCATCAAAGCCACCTCAGTCTAATGGCCTCTGTTTAATTAATTAACAGACGCCAGCCCTGTAGCTAAGCTAGACAGTTCTTTTATTGCTCTTGCTTGGGTTCTTCCATGGGGCTGTGGTCAGAGGGTGGCTGGGCTGGAATGTTCAAGACAGATACACTAATGTGTCTGGTGTCTGGAGGGCATGGCTGGAAAGCTGGGCTCAGCTGGCACAAACATCTGAGACTCTTTTCTCTCTGCATGGTTTATGGACTCTCCATTTGTCTCCATGGATCAGACATAATTCATGGGTGCTCAGGGCTCCCAAGAGCACAGACACAGAGGCTGCCAGGCCCTCCTGGTTCTGGAACTAATACATTTCTGCTGCCTTCCTTTAGTTAAGTTGAGTCACAGGGCCAGTCTAGATTCAGTGTGGGAGTGGACTGGTATATGATAAGGATTCAGCACCCGCGGTTTAGAGGACAGTTGTGAATTAAAACCCTGCTGTGCCACATTTCAGCTGTGTGATGTTAGATAAGTTCTTTAATCATAGTTCCTTATCTATAGCTATGCTCAGCAAGACCCAAGCAGCACAAAGGCTGTCTAGTTCTTTCCCTTTAGCTCCCACTAATTGAATATCATTCTGTGCCAGGTACCGTCCTAAGAACTTTACATATGTGAACTCATTTAATTTGTTCAGAGACCCTATGCTAGGGGTGTCGAACTCAGAGAAGGGGCCAAAATCTAAAATCCAGCCTAAATCGCGGGCCGAATGGTTTACTGAACAGTCATAAACTGTCATTGTGATGGAAACGCAGCGGAGTGCAGTGATGACAGCGCGGTGCGGGCCACATTGCAAGGCCTGGCGGGACGGATTTGGCCCGCGGGCCTTGTGTTTGACACATGTGCCCTATGCAGTGGCTACCATTGTCCTTTCAAATTCACAGTCAGAGAAATTCAGATACAAAGAGATGACATCATCAGCCCATGTTCACATGGCTGGCAAGTGTCAGTCCTGCAATTTGAACCCAGACAAGTTCCATGCTCCCTAGCCTAACTCTTCATTATGCTTGCAGTTCTCAATCATAGCCATCTCCCAGGACAACATCAATGAATGGTTGTTCTTGTAAAAATCTTTTGGTTTTGACAAAGGCTACTAATGTCACCAGCCTTTCGTCCCTTGGCTGAGATGAGAACAAGCTGTTCATTCCCATTTTGAAAAATTTGATTCTTTGTACTATTCCTATTTCAAACATATTTGGGCCCATCTCAAATATAATTGGTTTCCTGGATTTTCATTTTTGTCTAGAGCTGAGGGAGTCTTTCACTTTCCTTCTAGGAAATCATTTTAGGTTGATGCTCTGTGTCTAGCACATACATCACTGTGGAGACCAGTCTATCTGTGCTCTGAAAATGCTGCTGCTTCTTTAGGTTTTAACTCCCGTTCCTGAAGCTTCATTGCTCGGTTTAAGATCCACTGGGAACTTCAACAGGATACAGAGAATGTAAACCAATGCTGTCTGTTCAGAATTTTCTACCCTTGTCTCTGGGTGTTTAGGTTTGGGCTGTTTCCTGTCATTATGAATCAGTTTGTTTATCTACTTCCTCCCTCATGCTTCCAACTTACTCATCAGGGTTTTGTGATTTACTGATTGTTGGCTGTCTAATGGTATTTTCTTCATAGCCTTAAGACAGCCTTTGTGCTGCTTGGGTCTTGCTGAGCATAGCTCTAGATAAAGTTAAAAAAAAAAATCAGTCATTTTCCTTGAGTCCTTTTTTGTTCTATCTCCCCATATCTAAGTCTCCCTGGCTCTGCCTCTAAAATATATCCTCAGTGTGTTTCCTCTCCACTGTTTTCATGGTACCCCTTAGAACATCTTTCAATGGGACCAATACAGAGATGCCTCCATGGTGTCCCAGCTTATGGGACTTCCCCACCTTTTAACTTATGTACATAGAGATCTTTTTTGAATACTGGCTCAGCTATAGGAGTAGAATCCTTAGAGTTGTAAAATCTGCCATGTTATTATGCATTTTCTAGAATTTCATGCTGTGTGCTCCTGAATGACTCCATGAGCTATGTGTGAAGCTGGGGGTGATGGGGAACCCACTTGATTATATTATTTTTTTTTCATAGCTCTGTCATAGTGACCTTATGATCTCTGTCTTCTAGTGAGTGGGTTGGGAAATGATCAGTGACATAAAATAGCCAACATTTTCTCCTCAGGTAGCCTCTTAACCACTTTGCATGGGCAATAACTCATACCCATTAATTCCTCTTATTTCTCCAATTTATGATAAACATTCTGAATTCTGAATGCCATAGCTAGCATTTACCCAACCTCAGTTTCCTTACCATTTCCAATAAAGAGGTTCAGCTCCTTCATGAAGTTTATGTAGCATTATTGTTTGTGTGCTTCAAACATTTTGGTCTTATCCCAAATTGACCTAACTTAGGTTTCTGATGTTTTAAAGCAGTTTGAAAGTAAAAATGAAAAGGAAGAGAGAGAAAGTAAAATTCAGTAGCAGAAAAAAAAAAAAAAGCAAGTGATGACTATTTCTAGACTTAAATGATAAGAGATAAAATTGGAAAAGCTGTTTCTAGACCTACCTGATTAGAGATAAAATTGAAAAAAGGCTTTGAGCATCAAGACCCACTAAAATTTTTTAGTTAAAGTAACTTAGCCAAGTGGAAACAAATAAGAATAAGAAAGTGGCCTTCTTATATATTATTTAAGATAATTTCATTGTTGCCATTAAGAGAGAAGGCACACACACACACACACACACACACACACACACACACAGAGAGAGAGAGAGAGAGAGAGAGAGAGAGAGAGAGAGAGAGAGAGAGAGGGAAAGAAGGCACTAAGGAAGAGAAAGCAAGGAATCAAGGTAGCCTTGAAAACACATTTTAGACAACTTTGTGTGTGCACTGAAACACGGAACTTACTAGTAGTTGAAGCAAATCGAATAAAAGTCTACCAAGTTTTTAAGGGAGATGAATTGCTATGAAAACACAAGTCTGTTTTAATTATCTGTTACTCTGTCCTTGTGTCACCATTGTATACTGGATATATGTAAGTGGTTGGGTGGTAACTTTATTTTTTAGTTCATAGGTCACTAGACCACAAGGAGGAAACCTGATGAAAAATCATCAGTGATTTTGAGCTTTAACTGGATGTGGTTGTACAGTTTAAGATAAGTATGGAAGGAAGATTGAAAATGTATTTGGTGACTAGTACAGCAGGTGATGTTAGAGACTAGTGGGGTTTACCAAACCCTGTTTCCTTTGCCTTCTTGGTACATATAATCTACTCCCTTAAAGTTAAATGGAGCGATGAAACTGAATTCTGGCTTGAATTGATAATCTTGACATGCATTAAAATGTGACATGAGCTGGATATAAGCCTTTATTATTTGAAAATAATCTAGTAAGCAAACCTTTATTCTGTTGAGAATTTTGGAATTATTAGCCCACCTTGACCAATGCAGTATTCAAAGCTTTACCCAATGAAGCATAGAGGATATGTGTTCGTTTTACCTATTACCCTCCATTTTTTTCCCACCAAGTAATCAAAGAAGACTTCTGTGGCAAAAGTTTACTTCTCATTGAGAATGGCTGTTCTTTACTGTGTCATGTTGTTCTTCTCCCCTGAAATCAATAGTATTATTGAATGTGTAACCTGGATTTACTAGCTGTGAAACTTTGGGCATACATTTTTTCCTTGATTTTAGGGAGAGAGTAAGGGAGAGAGAGAGAGAGAGAGAGAGAGAGAGAGAGAGAGAGAGAGAGAGAGAGAGAGAGAGTTATAGTTGTGAGAGAGAAACATCAATTGGTTGTGTCCCATAGGTGCTCTGGCTGGGGATCAAACCTGCAACATACATATGTGCCCTGACCAGAATCAAACCTGCAACCTTTCAGTGCACGTGAGAATGCTCCAACCAACTGAGCCACACAGGGGAAGCCACTTCCTCTTCAGTGTACTAGAATAAAAAATGGCTGCCACTGCACACTTGCTCCTCATTTTTCTGTCTCTGTTCTCAAGGTACACTGCCCAACCATCTCAGTTCCAATGGTATATAGGCTGCACTTGCAAGACTCAGGAGGTTTAGATTCCCTTCCCTTCTTTTTTAACCTATGAGAACAGAGATTGAAACTATACCAGTCATGGCCTCATCTATCCCCCACACCATCCATTTAAATGGTTTACCTGTATGTCTGAGCTAGTGTCCTTTTGCCCACATGACTGAAAAGGCCCATCTCTCTGGCATACATTCTTTAGTGATGCTAACTAGGCAGGCACACCTACTTGCCTTGGCATGTTTTATAGATGACCCAAGCTGCAAACACAAACATGTATAAAACATATGCTCTTTTTGTATAATTTTAGCCTCCAAAATATGCCTACACATAGGGATGTGTGCATACAGACACACACATATTCTTTTTTGCCTGGTAGAAATATGCTTCTGTGGTGTTCCTTCTACTCCCACACATGCCCCATCCATGGCTGGCACATCTCCTAATTATTCCCATCTACTCCCTCCCCATAGACCTTTTGTGTGTATATTTTGGCACACATCCTCTTGATTCTGCCTAGTTCCTTCTTCACTCTCTTTATCTGCCTCCCTCTCTTTCCCTCCTCTTCACAACTCTTTTAGAAAATATGTTAAACTATACACTCTTTATTATTAATGCACATTTATGAAAAATTCTTCACAGTTACAAAAGTGCAAGGTTATAAAATCATCTCCATACAAAGGTTGGCATCTCCCCTTTCCCCAACCCTCCCTAACCCTCCCACCCCAGACATCAGCATTCCTCAGGACAGCACTCAGAAAAACAGAGATCTGTGGCTCTAGATCTCTCCACCCAGCCCTGTGACAAACATGGTGCTAATGTACACAGAACCTTGCAACTTGCTTCCTTCACTTCTCTTCTCCCTCCTTCTTGGGTGAGAAGAGTGGACAAGTTTCTTAGCTTTGGGAAGAATGGACAAAGATATTTCCTTTCTGGAGCTGGAAAGGATGTCAGAGCTATATCAATATTTACCGTATTTTTCGGACCATAAGACGCACTTTTTTCCCCCCAGAAGTGGGGGGAAAAAGTCCCTGCGTCTTATGGTCCAAATATAGCCTACACATATACTTTAAAAAAAAAGTTTTTTTACTTGCCCGGCTCTGTGTGGTCTCTGTATGCTTGCCTGGCTCTAAAATGGTTCTAAATGCTGCTGTTTACTTTACAGGGTTGATTACATGTGTTTATGACTGTGATGTTGGGTTTTAATGCACATAAAATATTTTAGGACACTATTTGTTTCAGAATCTTTTTTTCTTCATTTCCCTTCTCTAAAAACTGGTGCGTCTTATGGTCCGGAGGGTCTTATGGTCCGAAAAATACGGTATATATTGATATAGACATCTATAGGAATTGTAAGTCTTTCCTGATGGTGGAAGAGAAATACTTGTTTTGGTCTGTGATCAAATTCTATACACCAACCTCCTTAGAAGGAGCCAGCAGATTCTAGAGCAACTCTGAGGACCCATTTCTGCAGGGCTCTCTGGGAATCTCTATAGTAATGGATAAACAATGGAGGCAGTCTGAGGGTGATCAAAAGGAACCGGTCCAAAGTGGTATGGTGTAAATGTGGGGTCATTTTTAAAGAACAATGGCCCAGATATTGACTATCACAACACTGTTGATTAACTAAACTTTGATATCCTCAAGCCCATGAGGAAAGTTCTTTGATTAGGATAATCTCAGAGGGATAGAGGAGAACAGAGAGAAGTAGTTAGGCTTTCATTAGTCTGCCTCTACCACATCTCTGTTGTTGTTTTTTTTAATACCCCCAATATTATTCAAATAGGTAGCTATCCCTACTCAATCCCCAATGGGATTCCATATTAGTGTATTAAACAATGCAATAAACAGATGGCTGAGTAGACTATTGGAGAACTGAAGTCAAGTTCCAGAGAGTTTGCCCCCATATCAGTAGACATCTAATGAACATGAAACTTCATGAACAGACACATGGATTCAGAGATACTCCAACACTTACATGTTAACTAATCTGGAAAAAAACTAATGACACCTTGTGGGATCACCATTGTGGGTTCTTGGCCAGCAGTACTATGGGAACTGTTTCAATCAGTACTGCTAGATTTCCTCTAGAAGTGTGCCTCTAGAAGCTTGCTTCTGATAGTCTGCACAAGATACTGATGGTAGGAGGTGAGGGAATTTTCCTCATTGTGCTTTAGTTAACTGGGGACCTTCTAGCAGCTGGAGACCTTCTAAAAACCATGTATCCTACTCATTTACAGGGACTATGTAATCTCATTAGATAGTACATTTTATTTCAAGGGTCATTTGGTGTCTTGTTTGGTTCTAGTTCTATGCAAAAAACAAGTACATATCTAAAAATATATTAACTATATTTTAGCAAACAAGAGTATCTAGGAGATTATCATAGATGCATATGATGTTCTTCTATGGGAGGCTTATCTATTTGTATCAGGACTATTATTTCTACAAGAACCTTTCCAAATACCTTAGACTATGAGATTGACTAGTGAAGGGCATCCCCAATCCACCTGTCCTGGACATAGTGGAAGAAGAGATGGGGCACAGTTCTGCTCCAGGTGTCACAAGAGCAGGGTCTGGCCCAGATGTTGTAAGCAACACAACACACAAGGTTCAAGTACCCCGGGTCTAGCAAAGTTCTGGGTACTCTTTTGGTTGACTAGCTCAGGGAGCATGAGTAAGAATTCTTGGAAGATGATGTTTCTCCTTCATCCCTTCAGACCTGCCAGGAAGATGGGATGATGCAAGTCAGCTGGAGTTGGGGGCAAGGTAGGAAGCCCCTGTTTTAATTTATATGCTGACCAGCCTTGGAAACATGTTGGACCATGCCTTAAAGTCTTTCCCTATCGTGCAGAGGTTCTTATCCACAGCTTTCTGACACCCTTTGTATCTCTTGCAACACAACACAGCAGGGCTTAAATAGAAGGGGTTAACATAGCTTTCTCTCCTGTTTCCAAAAGTTCTTATTTTTTTAGATGGCTACCATTTCTAATGCATTATTTGCACATTGCAAGGCAGGTGACTCATTCAGGTGCTGCCTGTGCTGCTTCTAAGTATCAGAGGCTGTGATTTGCCCTACCTAAATCTGTACAGCAGCTACTTTTTACTGTCATTTATATAGCTGATCTACTAAGATGTTCATAGCTGCTGAGTCCTAGGGCTCCACTATCTAGCCTCCCAGGCATTCTCTTTCCAAGCACCTGGGGCAGTACCGGAAAGAGAGCCATGCTGGAGTTGAATCTCAATCTTGCCATTTAGGCAAGTCACACCGCTCTTGAGTCTCTATTTTTTTTTTTTTTTTAATCTGTAAAATAGGAGAAATGATAGTTTGCCTGCCCCACAGGGTTGTGAAGAGTTAGGAAGAATGATGTCAAAGCTCTTCAGGAACTGTCCAGTGCTGAAAAAATGTAGAGAAAATGATGATGAAGCTGATGACACTGATAATGAAGATGACGACAATGACGGTAATTGTGCTTTATACGTGAAGATAATTGATTTCTAACAGCCTGATTAGACACGGTTTTACCTAACACCTTCCTTCTAGAGTTTATCTGGATAACCTTGGGTAAGATACTCAGCTTTCAGCAATGAATTAATCTGTAAAATGGGAATAATAAAAGCTACCAGGCAATGTTGCTGTGAAAACTAGTATAATTGAATCAATAGATGTAATAGTGTCCAAAAGAATGCTGGCTCTTAATAGGAGCTTCATCAGCACTACTTGACTTTGAACTTATATACTTTTGAAGGGAACTGTGATGTTTTCTTACTTGACTGGGATAGTTAAAAGAGCATAAACTTATTTTGCTCATAAGTATCACATAATCTTGACCTCTCTGGGCTTTACTTGCCCATATGTAAAACGAGAACTATAATGCTCACCTCAGAAGATTGTTGTGTGAGTTAAAGAAAATTGTGGAGAGTGTTTATCACAGTGCCTGACACTGGCAAGTGTTTGGTAATTAATAGCTCTCTCACCTTTATACTTAAATGAGTTAAGTTGTTTAGAAGAAAGAGCAAATCCTCCCTCAGTCCTGTATTATCATGCTACAGGGATGCAGCCCACAGTGCATTTTCCTGGTGACATTCCTTGGCATGAGCACTGTGGCAGGAATAGTCACGAGATTAGGAGTCTGAGTGTCAGGACTCATGCTGCCCATTCCTGGGCCTCCTGCTTCTTCCTTCTGAGGCCTGAGGCCGGAGTGAGAGGCAGAAAACAGAGGTGGGAGAAAGGGCACTGAAGGTGTCCTCAGCTTGCTACTGGGACCTTGACAGCAGGCTACAACTGGTGATCTAGTGTGATGGGCAGTCACTGGGAGGTGGTCTCACCTGTTAGCTGCTGGTAGGAGGCAGCCAAGAGGGTTGGCATTGGGGGTTTTCACCCTCTGGAGGCAATGGTAGGCAGCTCTGAGCAATGACAGGTGGGTGTCAGAGGGAAAGTTTTGGTCCTGTGCCACTTTCCTTCTGTACACTGAGGTCCGAGGGATTGCTCACCATGCTTCTCAATGTACCACACATATTCTGGCCTATCATTTGTGTATGTACACTTCTTGGTCTACTTGACAACACAGACAGTTTTGATGACCCAGCTCATGAGCCATCTCTACTCTTATTCTTCTCTTGAACTTTTTGAAGCACAGTTGATAACCCCTCCTCTGGGCTTCCATAGCTATGTATTTAGAATGCCAACAGATTGTCTTAATGGGAATATTTTCTGATTCTTTCTCCTCTAACAGAGGGAAGTACCTGGAGGACAGGAACTAGGTGACTTCATTTAACACTGCCAGTTCCTAGCACAGTGCCTGGCCCACAGTAGAAGCTATTCAAAAGCAGTTTCCTGACATTGCATGAGCTATGACAGAGGTGGCCAGGGCACCATGGGGCTAGAGTGAGCAGCCAGGGAGAGTGTCTGGTATGAATGGCAGAGGTGGTCAGCAGCATGGAGGGGATGTCAGCCACGTACATCATATCTCTTCCTCTTCACTGGCTTTGCTCCAACGGTGGCAGCAGTTGGCTGTGATGCCCAGGAGGAAGTTGGTGGCCACAGATGCGATGGATACCACGAAGCCCACGAATGCGATGAAGAGGTAATCATCCAGGGTCAGGGTCAGGTGACAAGCCTTGAAGCTCTCCTCAGTGAGGGAGAAGAGTGGGGCACCCTCAACTTCAGGGGGCCCCCGGCACTCAGCCAGCTGAGAATCTGTAACACAGAACCCAGGGAAGGTGAAAGGCCTGGGGAGACAGAATGGAATGGAGAAGACCCACCCTACAGGAAAAGTTTAGGTTTTTTTGTGCCAAAATTTTTACTTACCTTCTTTAGTTCTCTCAACAGCCCTCAAGGCAAATACTTTTATACCCATTTTTATAGATGTGGCGACCACTGTCGCCACATCTATAAAAATAGAGAATATAGTAACTGATCTGAAATCCAATAGCCACTATTAATAATAGAACTCGGGCTTTTGTCTGCTACCATTGTCTCTTATATAAGCCTTCCAACTAATATCTGGGCTTCTGCCCTTAACCCATTTCAACACAGTGGCTGAGTGATCCAGTCAAACCTGAAGTCCTGTTATGTCACTCTGCTTCTTATCTTCACACAGACTGAAAGCTAATGTCCTCACCAGGGGCTGCAAGGACTTCTCCCCATTGTTTCTACTCTACTCCTGGCTGACTCTGTTTTATCCACTTAAACTTCCTGGTCATTCTTCCATCACCTGAGCTTGTCCCCTTTTGGGTAGGGAGGGAGTGCCTTTGCATTTGTCTCTGGGTGAGGATGCTTCTCTTCTGCATCTCTGCACAGCTCAATTCCTCATGTCCTTTGAGACTTTGCTCAAATATCACCTTATTGGACTTCCCTTATGATACTCTTTCAAGAGTATCCCATATGTCATCTTTCCCAGGCATTTCCTGTCTTAGCTACTCTGCCCATTTTTTCTTCATAGTGTTTACCACTGTTTGACAGCTTGTTTATTATCTATCTCCTCCACCTTGAATATAAGCATTTCCCATAGTATTCTTAGCCTATGTAAGTATTCAGTGAATCTTTGTTAAATGAATATGGGAATAAATGATTCTGTCCAACTCCAAAGCATTGGGTCTTTCTACTACCCCATGTGGCTTTTCCAGATATACAAAGTGTAGGGTTAAGAATGTGGGCTCTGGAGTCATTGTCCTGGGTTTAAATCCCTTCTTTATTTCTCCCAAGTTGTGCGATTAAGTATAAGCCATTTAGCCCCTCTGTGTCTTAGCTTCTTCATCTGTAAAATGAGCAGATGAATAGTAGTATCTACCTCATAGGGTTGTTATGAGGAGTCTATGAGTTAACATTTAAATGATATGTTCTTGGAATATAAGTATTGAGTAATGTATGCTTTTATTATTACTTTATTTTGGTCTTTTTGGACAGGTCAATGGGTTGCCATTCTCTCCATCATTGATGGTCCCATCCCATCCTTCCAGGGGCACATGTACAAATAAATGCTTGATGACAGTCAATGGTTCCATTGTGCTCTGCCTTGGGAGTAAAAGTGGCATGCAGGTAGCAGTCTGCCATTCCTTTGTTCAAATTAATTAAGTTTTCACCTTGGACAAGTTTTTTTTTTTTTTTTTTTTCCTTTCTGGCTTTCATGAAGAAAGTGGATACATAAAAAGGAGATAATCTAACTTATTGTCTGGGAATGTCAATGTGAAGATGTGAAGGACTTTTCTAAATTAAATGGGGCAAAAAGCTTTTTACTCTTTCTATAGACTTTGGGGCCAAAGAATAAAATCATGGATTTGGATTGACCTTTTGTGAAAATGGATGAGCATCATTCTCCTTAGAAATGGAGAGCTAGATTCAGAAAAAGAATGCAATCTGTCCCCAATCTCAGGTTGAGGTGGGTCCCTATAGGCTGTATGCAAAGTACTCCAGACTCTTCCAAGAAAAAGATTGTATCTGGAGTTGACCATCCAGAGGCTCTTCTTTTGGAACTGGAAGATGCTGAGCACCCAAATCTACTGTGTTCCTGGATTTGGCGAGACAATATAAAGCTGAGGTGTGTGGAGACAGTGAGGGTAATTGGTGTGGACCAACCAGAGGAGGCTCCAAGGACTGGACCCTGCAGGACTCCAGGAAGAAAGCCTGGGGCTGACAAAACTTTCTGGTAAGTCAAAGGACCAGTCTTGAAGTTAAGTTATATTCCAAGGGCACCCTTATGTTTCTCCGTGTTGGGATTTGTCTAAAAGTTGTAGATAGTCTTTGGAATCCCATGAAAAAGGGAGAAGAAGCCAGAACAGACAGAGGACAGAGGATTGCCTAATCCTACCTACACTGGTAAGTTCTTCACCCCCAAGAGGAAGTATCCTGGAGTGTGGTGAGGTTCAAAGTGTGTTCTGTGGAGGAACAGAGAACCTGGGCTTCTAGCTGTGGCGTACTTGTGTTCTCACTTTTTAGTTCGCAGTCACTTTCCCTTCTGGAGCTTCGGTTCATCATCTGTACTGACATGAGGCCTTGGTGATGGGATCTTGGATCCCTTTCCCACTCACTGGGAATTTGAGCTTTTTTTTTTTTTTTTGAAGGGCATCAGGGATCTCAGAGATTACTGAAAAGAAGGAGCCCATGTGTGGTGGAAGCTTAGCGCCTAGTGTGCCCCTTCTGTTTCTAGTGCCCAGGAGAGAGGGGAGCAGATGCAACTTGCAAAGGTTGAACAGATGGAGGGATCACTCCACGCAGCCTCTTCCTCATGCCCCTTACCATCACCCTATCTCAGTCCCCAGCTATTTTGGTCCCAGAGAACATCCTCCCACAGCTCTGAGGAAACATGGGAATTGTGTCCCACAGCTCCCCCAAGCTATTTTGGTCCCGTACTCCCCACTCAGTCCTCCTCTCCCTCCTACATTCATCATCACTTCTGAACACACTCTGAGCCCAGGCTCTGGGACATCCCCTGGGATAGTGCCCTAAGCTATTTCTGTTATTTTACTGCTGGGGCTTATGCCAAAGCTCAGTGCTGCCACATAGGAGAACTGGTGATGGGGGCCACCACTGAATATTGCCTGCCTCCAGGCTAGGTTTGGATACCGGTGGGTGAGTCCAGGGCCCATTAAACATTCGTGATTCAGGCTCCTTTAGTAGCCAATCCATCCCTGGTTGGAATTGTCTGGTTAAATTGTCACATCCTAGTTTCTCCTCTCAACTCTCAATCTCCTGCTCAAATCTTGTGGAACTCTGCTGAGACCCTTTGGTTCAGAACTTAGGCCAGAATTCATGCCCCGACTCTCCCATCAGCCTAGAATGGACTCTGTAGGATACAACCAGAGGCAGCCAGACTGCAAGGGTTGATTTCTGACTCCAACACTTAGCAGAGCTGTAACTTCAGGCAAGTTAACAAACCTCTCTATGCCTCAGTTTCACCTTCTGTAGAGTAGGGATGGCTCACTAAGGCGAGGATGAGATGAACTAAAATATATAACATGCTTGGAATAGAGCAGGACAGTAAGTACAAAAATAAATATCGCTAGCCATTTCTGTCTCTGAAAGACTGCCAGCACTCAGAACACTTAAGAAGCAGTCTTGAAGAGTAGGAAGGACTTTGAAGTCAATACACTTGAGCTTTATCCATGGTTCTGCCAGTTTGTAACTGATTCTGGGCTACTCTTTCCATGGTTCTAAATCTCAGTTTCTTCACCCACAAAATGGGGTGCTAAAAGTGGGACCATGCATGCCAAGTTCTTGGTCCTGGTGTGAGCTCAATAAACACTGTTTATTATGAGCTCTTCTTGTTTATTGTCTGTCTGCCTCATTAGGTCATAAGTGCCATAAAGGCAAGGGCAGTGTCTGTTACATTAATGAATGGGTCTACAAACTCTACAAATACTCGTGGAGCAAAAGAGCTGGGTATGGAGACAGGAGCATAAATCAGAGCACACCGTAGGGGCTCAAGATCTCTAAGGCTTCCTCTCTTCTTTTGAGGAGTTCCTTTCAGTGAGGCCAGAACCTTCTATCCCTCATACCCCCAGTCCTGCCTCCCCCCTCCCTTACCTGAGGTGCAGCGCTGGATCCGGTTTCGCAGCCACTTCAGCAGGGGCTCCATGGTGCAGCCGCACACCCAGGGGTTGCCACCGATCTGCAGGGTCACCAGCCCTGGCAAGCCTTCCAGGGCCTCGAGGCTGAGGAAGGCCAGGCCCCCGTAGCTGAGGTCCAGGTCTCGGAGCTGCATCAGTCCCTGGAAGGCCTGCGGGTGCACCCTGCGCAACCACGGGTTGTGGCTCAGGTCGATGTGCACCAGGCCATGGGCTTCCTGGAACATGTCAGCTGGCACGTGGCTGAGGTTGTTGTAACTCAGATCCAGGTGTGCCAAGCGCTTGGCATGGAGGAAGAGGCCTGGGGGCAGCTCGATCAAGGAGTTGTTGTGCAAATCCAACACCCTGAGCTCCATGTAGCACGTGAGGTAGCCCGGCGGCACAGTGGCGATGCGGTTGTGGGCCAGGCTGAGGTTGCGCGTGTCCATTGGCAGGTCTGGGGGCACGGAGAATAGCCGTTGGCTGCTGCAATCCACCACCTGGTTATGGCATGTGCAAAGGACGGGGCAGCTGGTGCCTGCGTCCGAGTGCATCACCCCGGCTGCCAAGAGGAGGGAGACCAGGAGCACGGCTGGTTGTGGTGGCCCAGGCCAGGGCAGCTGGGACCAGGTGTCACCCATCTTAGGCAGCTGGCAACGGCAGTGCTGAATGGAGTCCACAGGGGCTGGGGCTGTTGTGTCCATAGAATTGAGAGTCAGTGGCACAGGAAGGCAGCGGCATCGGGGCTTAGAGCCCTGGAGGGTGGGTCTTCTGAGTAGGGACGTCATGGCTCAAGCCTTTCCTGGGAGCCACTGAGTGAGAGCCACAGGAAGTCCCCTTTGGAGTTTAGGGGGCAAGCAACCTGTTTGAGGTTCTCCAGGGTCTGCAAAGACGATCAAAACTTGAGAAAGAAAGGAGGCAAGGGTGGGGCTGGGCCAGCTGCCAGCTGGAAGTGGAAGGGTCCCTGCAGATCTTTTGTGTCCCTCGCACCCATGACTTCTGGGAGCTTCCTCTTTGTGCAGTGTCTGAGAGATGGGAGGGGGGAGCTAAGGACACGAAAGGGGCCTTTTAAAGGTCCCAGAATATCTAAAAGTCCCCAGCCCCGCCCCAAGTCTGGGATTGATGATCAGATGCCAGAGCTGCGTTGGGGTCTCCAGCATTCAAGGACTCAAAGGGGATTCTATTGGTGGCCCAGTGGACTCGAGTCCAAGGGGGTCCATGGGTGGGTGTTTTGGGCAGGGAGCCCGGAGTGAAGTGGATCTCCATGGGCCTTCGGAAAGCCCGAGTCCTTGGCTCAGTGTCTATGGTAATCCCCGGGGAGGGGAAGACCCCAAGGGCCACCCATTGTTTGCACTGCTGAGCTTGGAAAGAGTCATGTGTCCCAAAGGTGCAGGAGGGGGCTGCTAGGAGCTCTGGCAACTTCCCAAGTTGGTGCTTCTCTAAGCAGCTTTGTGTTCGGCGGGTGGAGGCAGAATTCCTTCTGGCAACAAGGAAAGCACTCAGGCAGAGAAACGGTGCCTTCTTCTCCCCGTGGCTTCTCTCCTAGGCTCAGTGCCCCCTCATCCCCCCTCTGCTGCAGAGTCCTCTGTATACTGTCTGAATCTCAGGTGTGGCCATGGTGGGCTCAGACCCCAAACTCACACGGGTGTTACTCGCTAACCTTGCAGGCCCCTTCCTTGAGCATCCTCCTAAGTGTCTTGTCCTGCGCTGGATGCATTTTCTCATTCTCCATAGCCCCACCTCCACCAGCACCAACTACCCCACCCTTGAACAACTCTCAAAGAAAAAAGGCATGCACGCTCCGGCAGATTGCAGACCTCTTTCAGAGCTCTAGCTCTCTTTCTCTTTTTCTGTCTTTCTGTCTCTCTCTCTGACACACACACACACACACACACACACACACACACACACACACACACGTTGTTCCACTCCTATGACTCCAGCACATTTGCCCTGCCCTGTGCTCATGCCTCCCCAGTTTTCTTTCCAGCTTCCTTCTGTACATGTACTCTGCCCCTCCCAGTCTGTCCCCACCATCTTTCACCCCAGTGCACACTCCTAATCCCAGCATCCTTCCCCACAAACACTCCACTCTCCCCTTATCACCCCAGCTTGAGCCCACACCCACACTTGGCCAGGCAGAGGGGCAGAGCATGATGCCATACTTGGTGGCTCACCCTGCCATCCACTCTGCAGCCAGCCTCTGAGCCCCTGGATTCTCCGGTGCCCACCTGCTGTCCTCACTTGTCCTCCCCACATCCCTTCCTCTGACACTGCTTCTCTTCCCACTGATTCCTGCCTTCATCCCACCCACTGGGAAGTCACCCCAGCTCCCCTTGATCCAGACTCATTTTTCTGTACCCTAAAGTCTCCACCTGCACTCCCACAGGCCCCCAAGAGCCCACTTACTCTGTTCCAAGGACACAGCCATCAATCTGCGGCAGACAGGGGCTCCCTCCCTCCTGCTGGAATCCCTGCTTGCGGCTTCAGGGGAACAGATTGCCTCCTCGGCTAGTCTCCTCCCCCGGCTTCTCCTCCATGGTTCCTGGCTGCTCAGGCTGCATCCTCGGTGGTTTCCTGTTCTGTGGTCCCCGAGCTGGTCTCCTTCTTTTACCCGAAAAGAGAATCCGAGGGAGGATGCTGAGAAGAAAGTTCACAGAATCCGAATGCTTCTTCCAGAAACTCAGCTTGGTGCTGAGGCTGCTGCCAGGGTTTGTCAGATCTTTCCCTCCCTTCCCTTCCCTCCCTCTCCCCCTCCTCTCTTCCTTTTTCACTCCCCTTTTTTCCTCGAGGGCCAGGTACTGACGTTTCACTGTCTCTTAGCAACTGCCTCCACATCTCTGAGCAACAGGAGCGCTGTCTATGGACCCCACTAAGAAGAGACAGAAAGAAGCAGTTGTAGAATTCACAGCCACACACAGATCCTAGGCAAGGGGAACAAGGGGTTGGGGGGGGGGGCATTGACAGAACAGGACATGGGCAGAGGGGAGAAGCAGGGAGAGAGGGCAAAGGGCCCAGTGGACTCTGAGATAGAGGAGGGGGAGTTTCAGGGCACCAGATACAGAAGGGACAGTAAAGAGGGCTTGGAATGGAGAATGGGACTTAGTGGGCGGTGGAGGGCAGGTGAAAAAATGCAGGGAGGCCATGAAGACATGAATAAGGATGGAAAGAAAAAAGGGAAGTGGATATGACAAATTGGCTCACTTGATGGAGTATCGCTATTTAGTCCACATATAACATTTGCTTCCCTGAGTTTTAATACATTTTGGTCACCAGGTAGCAGGTGACTGGACTGGCTCAGGGCTTGTCAGGTACAACTATAGGAGGTGAAACCTTTTCTTGATTCCTAAATTGTCACTAAGTCCTGATGCTACAAGCTTTGAGGGCTTTTGGGATGTGAAGGGTCAACTGCCAGGTCCAGGTGCCTGGAGCTATAGAAACAATCAGATCTGTCTGTAGGGCAGTCAGAGCTGCCAGAACACCTTGTGGTCCTGTTCTTTTTCACCAGGCCCCCAGGACTGTCTGCTGACCTGCTCCTATCTCTCCAAGCTTCCAGATTTTTAGGAAAACTAAAATGGAGTAACAGAAAGTGAAAGTTCAGTTGTACAGATCTGAGGTTTTATAAAGTTCTCAGGATCACTGACTTCTCTTTTTTCTATATGGCCATAGAAGGTCTGCTTCCCTTTCCATTGTCCTCGCTCATATTCTGCTCATTGAATCTTTCATGTTCTACAGAGTGCAACACACAGTAACAAGGGAGCTGCTGCATTAATATTTATACATTGCATTGGTTGAGGTAAATATAGTTGCCACCACCTTCCACCTTAAAGATGAGCTTAGAAATAAAATATTTTTTTAAAATATTTTTTAATTGATTTTTTTACAGAGAGGAGGAGAGAGAGATAGAAAGCTAGAAACGTCGATGAGAGAGAAACATCGACCATCTGCCTCTTGCACACCCCGCACCGGGGATGTGCCCGCAACCAACGTACATGCCTGTGACAGGAATCGAACCTGGGACCTTTCAGTCTGCAGACCGACGCTCTACCACTGAGCCAAACCAGTTTCGGCTAGAAATAAAATCTTAATCTTTATGCAGAAAACACAGCAACACATTAGAACAAGTAATCCAGTATAATCAAGGAAAGCAAAGCTAGCATGATACCTTTTTAATAATAAGTGATAAATGGTAGAAAACATAATTATCTCAATTGAGGCTAAGAAAGGTAATAGCATATTTCTATATTTAATATTAACCGAATACACTTAAGAAACAAATAAAAAAGAATGGAGGTTTTCTTCCTTTGTATAATATACCAGTTTATATTTACAATTAGAAACAATAGTATGACTAAATAAAAATGTGGCAGTTTCCTTTAAAAAATAGGATTTAGTCAGGAACAAACACCTCATCATCATTGGAAACTACAGCTTTCTGACCAGTAAAATTGGGATAATAATAATGGCATTGAGCTCATGAGATTGTTTTAGAGGATTAATAAAGCATGTAAGACAGTATAGAGTGAGCACTACAGATGTGTTTGCTAAATGAATAAATCAAGTAAAATAAATGTCAAAGTATTAAATTGAAATAGTTATGCAACAAGGAAAACAATTGCACAAAAATGGGGACTAAAGAAAGAAAAATGTCACATCTGCAGATGACTTGAATGTATTCTTGTGAACGATAAGTCTCAAAAACTTTGAGGGTCCCCAACCCAGAACATTATCGTTGCATGTAAGTCTTCTGTAAAAGTGAGTTTAAGTGAAGGCAGAAGTCTTTTAGAAAACTTCTTACCCATAATCATTCTATAATGATTGTTTCTTAAACTGGTGTCTCATGATATCCTGTGTGCTGTGAGAAAAATATTCTCAAATAAGTTTGAGAAACATTGAGTTAAACAAAATTAAATAAATTTATTTTTTCCAAGACTTCTCAAGGCTTTAATGCATTAATGGAGACTCTCCAAGGAAGGATGGAAGATGTATAATATCCAGTATTACCCTTATGTTGGGTGGCTCGCTACTCCCCTTAGCAATGTGACCTTCTCTTACACAGTAGCCTTGCAGGGGGAGTGATTCAATTTTGAGTTCCAGCAAAATCTTAAATAATAACATATCATGGCCTTTTGGAGTCTCTTGCAAGTTATTCAGTCATAAATGTCAAGAATTATTCTACTGGGAAAATACACTGAAATTAGTCTAACAGTTAGAGACTACAAATGAATTGAAAAATCATTTTCAACATTATGATTTCTTGACATACATAGTAAATTAGTTGTAATAGTGACTGTAAAATGTTTAAATACATAATACATGCGAATTAATTTAATCTATTACATAAGAAATGTGTTCAGGGAAAAATATGAAACCTTAGTAGGATGAAGATACAGGAATAATGGAAAGCTGGTCTCTCTAGTTGCTGGAAACCTTCAAAAATAAAATAATGACTCTGCTTTCTACATTACAATAATTTAATGAAGTATTTAGCAGAATGTGGTCAACTGGTAGAGAAAGCCATCTGGGAGAAAATGGAGAGGATGCAAATATGATATTAACAAGATGATGATGAAGGAAATGCTTGAAAGTAATGGCAGTAGAGTTCTCTAACTGAAAGATTAAAAAATATATTGCAAACTGAAAATCAACCAATGGCATTACTCAACATTTGTGCTTTGAAAAATGACCTATGGGATAGACAAGATTTTGAGAAAGTGATTCTCACCAGCAGAATACAGAAAATGAAAAATGGGAAACACAACCACAATGTTGAAAGTAATTTTAGTATAAGAAATGTATCGAGACCTTAGGACTATCCTTCACTTTTATACATTGAAAACATTCCAAATGGTTCAAAGAACTAAACAGAGAAACAAACAATCACAAAATTCAAACCAGGAAATGAACAGAACAGCACATTTGCCCTAGCTGTGGCAAGAAGATATCTTTCTGTGTGTTGAGGACATGGAGAATGTCATTAGCACTACCACCGTTTTTGTCAAATAAACAACATTGAAAAAACAGCAAGGTTCCATTGAGCAAAAATGATTACAAAATCAGAGAGAAAGGAAAGAAATTCAATGGAAAAATGGATTTTAGACATAAGTGACTTGAAATAATTCATGCAAAATATATTAAGAAATGAGAGCAGGCAAGCCAGCTCTGGTGATGGTAGTGTGTTTAAGGGGTGGAAGGATTGAGCAAAAAAGAAAGAAATAAAAGAGAGAACTCATGGATATGGATGACAGTGTGGCGATTGTTTTGTGTGTGTGTGTGTGTGTGTGTGTGTGTGTGTGTGTGTGTAAGAGGGTACAGAGGGGTAAATGGTAATGAAAAAAAGAGGAAATGCTATAACACTAATTTTTATAAATTGATATAATAAATATTATATATACATTCCAGACCTTGTGCTAGGAACTAGGGTACAACCATGTTTTACATGCAATGCACACCATAATATTTTTATGCTCATACAAGCAATTTATTCTTTACATTTTGTGGTGTCATTTTATTCAGATGTTTTTTGTAAATGTTGCCTCTCTCAGTGATATAATTAGCTTCATTCTATGAAATATAGATTTTAATGAACCAAGAGGCAACAATAAGAAAAACATTATTTCTCCTGAGTGCCCTGAATATGAGTTGAGAGGGCAATAAGATGTGTGTTACGGCCTTATAGAAACCACACTGCAATAACGACTGATAAAATTATCCAGTTGTTTCCAACTGATTTTATACAGCTCTTGATGGTACTGTTCTGGCCATTACCTATAGAACATACTCTACTTGGAAATTCCCTTGGACTCTTTCATGGTATCTCACCTCTCTCTTTTCTCTGTGTAGAGAAATATATATATAAAAAAATATATTGTTAATACAGGCTCATTAACTTTGAAGACCATCACCCCCTCCTCCTGTCTGGCTCCCTACATATTCCTGCTTTGTGGGTGCCTGCTGGGGCTGAGTCCTTCCAAGATCTCTTCCATTTGTGATTCTGATGCTATCCAGATGTACTTCCTGGGCCCTGGGCTCCACGGCCAGACCACAGAGCAATGCTTATTACCAGCATCGGACTCTGAATCATCCCTCTGACACATGCAGGGGAGTCAGTCGCCTTCTCCCAGGCATTCTTAGAATTCTGGGAAGAGGATGGTGGGAGGCAACCCAGATCCTGTCCTGAATTTCCTGGAAAAGGAGAGCAGCAGTGTCTAAGGAAAAAGAGATGAGAGGCAGGGACTGGGAAAGGCTGCAGACTTTTCCCCCAGACACTCTAAGTCCTATTTTTAGGATGATGCCCAATAAGTCTCCCCAAGAGAGGTTTTGCCCAGAAATATCCTGAAGTTGCAATGAGGTCATGACCATCTTTGTGTCATATGTATTCTCCCTCTGTCTCACCTGTCCACATGGATAAAGGTACAACATATATCCCTTATGTCTGGAGTGGTTTATTCTTGCCCATGCCAGAGAGACCACCATTGATGATTTCTCTGTTTGCTCACAATTTCCAACCTTGTCCAGGGGCTGCAGGATTAGAGCCAGAGGAACTTGGTCAAAGCTGTTTTCTGGCTCTGTCTGGGGATGGCAATGCATAGCTAGCATTTATTGAGCATCTACTTTGTATAGGAACCAGCATAGTGCCATGTGGGTTGTCTTATTAAGTTCTAATGGCGTCCCCATGAGAAGGGTTCTTTTCTTTAAAAAAATGAAAATGAATTAATTTATGAAGATAACACAGTTAGTAGGTAGAATAACTTATGATTGTCACTCATTAAATGCTTACTTTCTGTTTAGTGCTTTATATATGACATCTTTTAAAAACTCTGAAATAATTTGACATGTAAGTATGATAGCCCCATCTTTTACATAGGAAAATTAAGGAGCAGAGAAATTAAGTAATTTGCCTAAACTCCCACAACTTGTAAATGGCAGGAAGAACTTCAACTTGGTTATTCTCCTTCCAAAGCTCAAGCCAACTCTGTCTTTATGAACCTCAGTCTTCTCTCTCTGTTAAATGGGATGGTACTTATCTTGGTTGCCAAACAGGCTTAAAGCAGAACATGCCTGTGGTTTCTGTAGAGTGGCTCATCATTCTGGTGAGTGGCTGTGAAGGGGATGTGCCTTCCCAGGTGCACTTTCCCTCAGCCAGGTCTGCTCCAGGCCTGGGAGCACAGAGACAGGGAGAACTCGGGCAGCCAAGTGTCCCTGACATCTGTTACAGGAATGGCCTTGTTAAATTGGGTTGGGTTTCCTTGAACATTCTAGTGGAATTGACATTAGAGAAACATACACTGAACATAGCAGCCACTGGAAGTTTGATTAAGGGGAAGGGATGGCCCAGCTCACCTTTGGCCAGGTAGGAGTGATTTTGTGGACTTCTCAGGTAGTTTCTGGTGGAGAGGGTGAAGCACAAGACCTGGGGCCAGCAGCAGGGGGCCCAAACTCCCCACATGCTCCTTGTCAGCTGTGTGAGTAGGGATTAGTCTCCCAACCCCTCTGAGCCTTGGTATCCCTCTGTGCAAATGGAAAAGCTGCTTCCTCTCTCAGTGAATTAAGGGCATTTCATAAACTATTGAACACTCTATACACATGTTGTTAATCTTCCCTCTTTTGGGTAATAAACAAGAGAGGCTGGGGCTGCCTCACTTGACCGATTTGTAGGTCTGGCTCCAAGATCTCATGAATGTGCCCTGGGATGTTCAGGTTTTACAGATCAGAGGAGCAAAGGATAAAAGAAATACAGATTGCTTTACTCTATTTCCATGAAAAGAGTCATCTGTTCACTCACCTAATGGCTGAATTTTCCAGAACTTCTACATGACTGGTCCTGGGGTTTGCATTGCTAGGGTGTGTATGTGTGTGTGTGTGTGTAAGGTGGGTGATGGGTGGGGTGGAGGAGACAGGTCTGGGGAAGAAAACTCGTTGGTCTTCCATGATAGAAATTTAACGCTTTAGATGAAGAAACAAGACTACCACCAATACCGAATAATTAGACATGGAATTTAACTCAGCACTGGCTGAGGAATGGAAGTCCTGCGAAGGGAAATGGATGGAGGGATAAGCATAATCAGAGAAAGCTTCTGGGCAGCAGGGCTTTAGATGGGCTGAGAGGAGCAGGGAGAATAGTAGTGACTGCAGTGACATTCTACCTCCACCCACATTGTGGGGACATTGCTATCATCCCACAGCTAAAAAGTCCGGAGGGCTGACTCTATCCTAGGTACAGAGCCAAATCCTTGATGCCATTAAAACCTCCCAACTCTTTGATTTTGACACCATCATATGCCCATTTTTTTCAGATGAGCAAACAGGCAGGTGTAGTAAAGTGTACAGGTCCCATACTTACCTCTGGTATATCTAGTAAATTCAGAGCCTGTGACCCAATGTGGAGGGCCTGATGGGGCTGCATGAAATAATGTTTGTTGTCCATCCAGATGGAAAGGCGAGGCCAGTGGAAAGAATGCTGGGTCCTGTTAGGAGCAGTAAAGAAGGAATTTCTTTCTTACTAATTCTTTTGTTTCTCTCTCTTTCCAGGAGAGACATCTGGGGCTAAGGTGTTCCTACCTGGAAGGACCCTGTGGCACAGAAAGTGAAAAGGGGAATGAATACTTTGGATTTGGCTCTGGCTCTGAATCCAGAAGACAGAGTGGGACCTAAGCCTGCATTGCGAAGCCCTCAGTACAGCACATGAGGTAACCGGAGAGGGGCTGTAACAAGAATCCATACCTGCAGCAATAGCATGGCCCTTATTGGAAGGATGGGGCACATAGAGGTAAGCTCAACTGGTCCCATGAAGTGAAAGATTGATAATCCCAAGAATGAGAATCAGATAAGCTCCTGATCATAGGCAGCCCAGGTGAAGGAGTCCTGAACTGAGAAATCAATCAGGCATTGCTCAACTCTCCATCAAATTTGCTGCAGGACCTTGAGGCAAGTCACATTCCCTCTTTGGGACTCAGTTTCTTTATCTAGGAAAATGGGACATTTGGACCAGATAAATTCTTTTTAAAAAAATATATTTTATTGATTTTTTACAGAGAGGAAGAGGGATAGAGAGCTAGAAACATTGATGAGGGAGAATGACCAAGGTACATGCCCTTGACTGGAATCAAACCTGGGACTTTTCGGTCCTCAGGCTGACACTCTATCCATTCAGCCAAACCGGTCTTGGCTGGACCAGATAAATTCTGAGTAGATTGTTGGTGACTGTAGAGTTCTATTAAGGACAATGACTAAGCATTTATCATGATGTGAAGTACAGTTAATCATTCTTTTTTCTAAGAAGCTGATTTCCTTTGGCCTGACTGCTTGGCTTTGAAGTCTCAGGTCTCAGACTCTACATCAATAAGGAGCTGGAGAGAGGGTGAGGTCCTCTCCCCAACCCCAGGTAAGTGGAGATCGCTAGGGCCAAGGTAATGAAGCAGCCACGGCTTACATCCCAGAATAGCTGCAGTCCTCCTGGCATCTGCCATCCTGGCTGCAAACTCCCATCTCATTGGCTCCTTCCTAACTCTGCCGTCTGGCTGGCATTGCTTTCCAGGTTTTGTGGAAAGCAACCCTCCTTGTGTGCTATAGCATGCTGGCTTCTCCCTGCAAGCCAATGGGATAACAATAGCAACTCTTGCCTGGTTCTTTTAGTTCTGCCTTACTTCATGTCCTTGGTAGATGAGGACAGAAGGAGTTGCTTAGGACAGTGAAAAGAGGACTAGAGGTGGTGCCAGGGATATTAAGTTCTTGCCATGTGCCTGGACACAACCAAAACATATCTTTTGGTTTCAATAGCTTCACTTGTAACATGAGGAAAATCAGGCTAGTGTTTCACTGCTGTTCAGCAGGGTGCCTCTCTCATTGTTCATAGCTGGGGTCCTGTTATGGACTGTATGTATGTGTTCTTCCTAGATTCATATGTTGCAATTATAACCCCCATTATGATGGCATTTAGAGGTGTCGCTTTGGGAGGTCATTAAGTCATGAAGAATAGAACTATCATGATCACGGTTAGTGCCCTGATAAGAAGAGGCCAGAGAGCTGGCTATCTTTCTTCCTGCCAAAGGATGCAATGAGAAGTTGCCAGTCTGTAAGCCAGAACCCAACCATGCTGGCACCTTGATCTCAGACTTCCAGCCTCCACTGTGAGAAATAAATTTCTTTTGTTTTTAAGCCACCTAGCCTATGGTATCTTGTTATAACAACCAAAAAAAAAAAAAAAATAACAGGTCCATTCTGCTTGGCCAGTGCCCATCCCATGCTGGTTGTTCAATATTTTCAATATTACCTTGAAGGTAATACGCCTGGCCAATTGCATAGAACTGGCATGAAGATTCAGTGGAGTAAAGAATAGGAGAAAGTACTTTGGAAACTGTGTGATACCACAATCACATATCTGACACCTGACTGCCTGGTGTCCATTTGTCTTTTCTGTCTGGGGAGCAGTTGCACCATGATTTTACATTCACCTGTTCTTAACTGTTTGGTTTATATGGAGCTTGCTCTACTCCTAGCTCCAAGTATGCATGTGCTCAGGTTTGGACAGGTGAGTATTTCTTCCTCTGGTCACAATGACAGGTTGGGAGATGAATAAAAGTACAAAGACATCATCAGAGCCAAACTTGGGGGCAGATCCAGACCTGATCAATAAGAACACACATCCTGCTCTAGCCAGTTTTGCTCAGTGGTTAGAAGGTTGGCTTCAGACTCAAGGGTTGTGGGTTCGATTCAGGGTCAAGGACATGTACCTCGGTCACAGGTTCGGTCCCTGGCCCTGGTTGGGCTTGTGTGGGAGGCAACCAATTGGTATGTCTCTCTCACATAGACATTTCTTTCTCTGTGTCTCTCCCTCTCCCTTGCAGTCTTCTAAAAAAATCAATGGAAAAAATATTCTTGAGTGAGTATTAATAATGAGAGAGAGAGGGAGAGAGAAAGAGAGAGAGAGAGAGAGAGAGAGAGAGAGAGAGAGAGAGAGAGAGAGAGAGAGAGAGAGAGAGAGAGAGAGAGAGAGAGAGAGAGACATCCTTTTGCTGTGGTCATGGCTTATCGGCATGTGACTCAAACTAGACAAATCAGATTATTTCTCTGAGATTATTCTCACTGGGATATCTTGAAGGATGTAACTCATGACTGTTCCTTCATGTAGAGAAAGAAAAGGATGGAGCCTAGTAGAATATACAAATATGAATGACAAAGAGGAGAGAGCAGTTTTGGTGACATAAATCCTGGCTTTCTCTGGTCCCTAATGTCCTGCTTTCTACAGTTCTTCCTCAAAGCCAAGTAAAGCAGTGGCAGGGCATGGGGACACTTTTACAGTTTTATTTTGTTGACCAGAGGAGGCTTTTCTGAGAAGGTTCAATGTGATCTCTTATATGAATAGAGTAAAGGAGTGGGCCCAGTAAAACCAAGAAGAGAATTCCAGGCAGAGGGAATAGAAAGTGCAGGGCACCTGAGGTGGTGGTGGTGGTGGGGCACTAGTGTCTTCAAGGCACAAGTTGGCCAAGTGTGTCTGGAGTTGAGTGAGAAAGTAATAACATTCTGGGATCTCTCTCACCTAGGGTCTATCGTAAACTACTGCTTCTACAGAGATCCAGAGAAGGGAAAGCTTCCTGGTGGTTAGAGTAGACAGAACTTCTTTCATTACAATTGCTAAGGTGTGACATTCCATGAACACATGCCAATTCCTTCCCCTGTGTTTGTTCCTTTTTTTCATTCAACAAGAATTTATTGAGTATGTGATATCTGCCAAGGAATGCAGACAACACTGAATGTACAATGATGAATCAGTTACGGTTTCTGCTTTCAAGGATCTCAGTCTGAGTGAGTGTGGAGGCGGCAGCCATGTAAACAGATAATTAGAGAGAAACATGGCAGGTGCTGAAGCCAAGGTAGGAACACAGTGCCGCTGGGGAATCCAGGAGGAGAGGGAAGGTTTTACCTAGAAGAGTCAGTGTGGTGTGTCTAGAGGAGGTAACCTCTCTTCTGGTCATTGACAAGCAAGGGAAGTTTGACCAGTAGAGAGCAGCTGGGAGGGACAGCATGTGCTAATAGTATGCAGTCATATCTCATGTAGCAGTATGTTTGCCAATACATCTCCTAGGGCAAGGGGAACAAATAAAAAACAACAAACACACGGGACTATATCAAAGTAAAAGGCTTCTGTATGGCAAAAGAAACCATCATCAAAATGAAAAAGGAACCCACTGTATGAGAGAATATATTCCCCAGTATACAGCTGATAAGGGGTTAATCCAAAATATATAAAGAACTTATACAACTTAACACTAAGAAGACAAACAATCCATTTAAAAAGTGGACAAAGGACTGGAATAGATAATTCTCCAAAGCGGACATAGAGAAGATCAATAGACATGAAAAAAATGCTCAATGTCACTAATCATTAGAAAGATCCAAATTAAAACTAAATGAGGTATCACCTTGCACCTGCCAGAATAGCTAACATTAATAAGTCAACAAACAATAAATGCTAGTGAGGACATGGAGAAAAGAGAACCCACATACACTGTTGGTGGGAGTTTACTAGTATACTGGTGCAGACACTGTAGAAAAACAGTATGGAATTTCCTCAAAACATTAAAAATGGAACGGCTTTTTGGTCCAGTGATCCCACATGTGGGAATATATCCTAAGATTCCTGAAACATCAATCAGAAAGAATATGTGCTCCTCTATACATGCACCCTTATGTTCATTGCAATGTTATTTACAATAGTTTAGATCTGGAAACAGCCTGTGACCACCAGTAGGTGAGTGGATAAAAAGCTGTGATACATTTACACAATGAAATACTATGCAGCTGTAAAAAAAGAAGGAATTTTTTACCCTTTGTGACAGCAGGGATGGACCGAGAGATTATTATGCTGAGCAAAATAAGGCAGCCAGAGGAAGAAAAATATCACATGACCTCACTTATATGTAGAATCTAATGAATAAAATAAACGGAGGAACAAAATAGGCTCAGAGGCATGGATACATGGAACAGACTGATAGATCTCAGAGGAGATGGGTGTGGGGAGAGTACTGGAAGAGATTAACCAGAGAACATATATGCATAGCCCAAGGACATACAAAATAATGCGGTGAAGGCCTGAGGGGGGTGAGGACTGGGTAGAGGGGGCAAAGGAAGGAAATGGGTGGCATCTGTAATTATGTAAACAACAAAAAGAGTATGCAATCATGGGAAAGGATGAAATTAGAAAATGACCAACACCCAGAGCACAGAGTTTTAGGACTGGAACGTTTGTGAATATGGAGAGGGGTGAGGTGAACTCAGTCTGCGTTGGGTGTTTAGACTTTATTCTGTTGATTTGGAGAATCCCTGGAGACTTTTAAGTAAGGGAGTAAATAGATTAGATTGTTTGATGGGAAATTATATGGTATGATAGGATACAGTATGATGTAATATAACAAGAAAATAATGAAAATGGTCTGAAGAGTAAACAGTTGTTTGGGTTGAGAGACAGGGTCACAGTATCTAATGGGGCCAGGTGATGACAAATGAGAACAAGGAGGTCAGCAGGTTGTGTGGACCCTGCCTTGTCTCAAGAGGGTAGGTGCTACTTAATGCGGTGAATTATTGCCCCAATAGGGACTCAGGTCCAGGGCTCCCAGAGCTACTGAGATTTCTTAGAGCAGCTGGAAATACAGATCCTTATGTAAAATCTCACCATTTTTAAATGTTGGCAACTAATTTCGATTCACAAAACACAGTGTGGGCCAAATATAACACATCTGTCAGCCTGATCTGTCTGCAGGCTGCTGATTTACAACTTCTGGGTTGAGAAAAGATTTTTTTTTTTTTTTCTGCAAAGAGATCAAAATACTTTTGGATGCAATGATTCATGCCTGGAATGACCTTCTTTCATCTTATTCTAGCAAATTCTTAATCATTACTTAAGACTCAGTTCAATTGTCCTTTGTGATGCTTTCTCTTTCACCCCTTCCTCCCGGTCATCTCCCAAATCCCCCCAAGCAGTTAACATGTCTTGGTACTCTCCAATGCATCTTTTATACGTTCTAATACCTGAAACAAGCAAGCAAACAAACAAACAAGCAAAACAAATGCTGTGGAGCAGGAGAGAATCCAGGGCTAGAATACAGGTATATTGCTTAATGGAAGGAGTCACAACTTAAAGGAGAAAGGAACAAAGCTCACAATATAGGTCCTCAGAAACCTGGAAGGACCTAGGCTGGGATGGGAAGAGGTAGACCAGATCTGAACAGAAAGATGAGATGCTGGAGAACAAGCTGGACTATGTGGACTTAGAAAGCTCGGCACCGTGAGTTTCTGTAGGACTTTATTCTTAAGCAGGGGTAGGTTCCTATCTCTAGTCTGCCTTTAGTTACCACAACCCTGAGACCCTGAAGACTGACCTGGGAA